ACTTCATTGCATATAATCAGCCCCTAGGACTGTGAGAAGCAAATGCAGATGAAAGGGACCTTTGAGACCATATCACTTGATTTCTCCATTTTATAGATGGGAAGACTGAGGTCCAGAGAGACAAAATGACTTGCCCAAAAGCTATAGACTATCTAGATGATAATTTACCAGAGGGGACCACTGATAACTGAAATATAGGCCCTTCTACCAATTAAACATTCTTTAATCTTTTTGTTTGTTTTAGAATCATACCAGAAACTTTATTTCATCCGGGGTAGGTTATCCACATTTTAAAATCTTTTTGATTTCTTGATACAAATACCCACATATAGGCACAATTTTACGTAAACGCACAAACATCATTATAAAAGTGCTTTGTTGTGCAGTCGCTCCCATCTTCCTCCTTCCTGCGAGATTCTCTTCCCTTGTCCCGTCAGTATAAAGCTTCCCAGCCTGCCTTCCTGGCTGGACCCCACATTACCAACCTACTTTGTACCCATTCACCTATTTGTCCATATTCATGTAATTCTATGGAAAATATATATACAATATATATGTGTCTGTGTGTGTATATACAAACATTCTTAAATATTAAAGGAGCCCTGGTGGCGCAGTGGTTAAAGCACTCAGCTGCTACCCGAAAGTTTGGTAGTTCGAACTCACCAGCCACTCCACAGGAGAAAGATGTGGCAGTCTGCTTCCATAAAGATTTACAGCCTTGGAAAGCCTGTGGGGCAGTTCTACCCTGTCCTATAGGGTCTGTATGAGTTAGAACTGATTTGACAGTGGGTAAGTCATTTTTAAAACGATCTTTGAAAAAAAAAGTCACTATGCAAAACAAGTATCTCTTCATCTAAAAGAGTGACATCAATTGTGTAACAGCCACTTCTTTGGGCCAGCTACCAAGCAGGGATGACAACAGTGAGGTGCCAGTTGTCACACTACATCTCTGATGCAGATTTTGGGGACGCTGTAGAAGACTCAGTGGGAAGCACAGATGTTTTCTCTGACGTGAGCTTCAAAGGTTTGACACACACCTGCAGCATCCTAAGTTTCCTTTAAAAGCTATTTGGAACTATCAACCATTATCTACCCAGAGTCCCCTGGGAACTTATTTAGGCTTTCAGTCTACCTGTATCTTATAGTTGAACCAACTGAAGACACCACAGAACCCCAGGCAATGAATGATTCCTTTCCAAGGCCCCATCGAGTCAGTTCCAACTCATGGAGACCCCCATATGTGTCAGAGTAGAACTCTTCTCCATAGGGTTTTCAGTGGCTGATTTTTCAGAAGTAGATCACCAGGTCTTTCTTCCAAGGTGCCCCTGAGTGGGCTTGAACCTCCAACCTTTTGGTTAGCAGCCAAGTGTGTTAACAACTTACACTACCCAGGGACTCATTCAGCCCAGCCTACAGACATCTATTACCCCCTTGTCCGTGATCTCCCAACCAGAGATCGTAAGCAAAACAACCTGCTTCGAATCCAGCTGCTGAAAGCTCAGCAGCACAGAATTCACCCCAAGACCTCAAATGGCCAGAGTTGTAGGTACCAAACTCTTACCCACAGACCCTGTCTTGAAATATCTGGTCTTGCAAATGTATTCATATCGAAGTTTCCCACTTAAAATAAAGAAACTAATATCTGACTGCCAATTACAGCTTCCAACCAACAGGAGATAACTGGTGTCGCCAAAATGAGTTAATATAATTTCAACTGAGAAACAAAACACGTTTGGATTAGCCAGAGCTACCTTATTCTGAATAAATGCTTGATCTCTGCCCCTCCACCAACCCAGCACCCCCTCCACACACACACCCATTATTCCCTTCTCAGATTCTCGGGGACCCACAGACCCATGGGCAATGCTGGTATAGAGAGAACTTAGCACACCGAAGCCAGCACGTTGTACCACGGTGAAAGTCGTCTGGAATCTGGCATGGCCACGAAAGACTGGCTGCATTGCCCTCCCAGCAGCTCATTTATCTGTGATCTGAAATTACATTAAATTTCCAAGGACTGGGGAAAACATTTCCCATGAGCAAGAAGTTAATTTATTTGCAGGGGGAAATGAATGGCTGCCTCTGCTTTCCTGACCCTCCCATAGGCACCAGGAAACATTAAGTGACCCTTAAGAGAGACCCCAGACAGAGCCTTCACTTATATAAGATGGCCTAAAATCAGCCATGGGTGACAGGGGACATAAATCCTGCAACCCATGGTAATGTGTCTAAGGATTCTTTAAACTGAGGTGCAACTATATTTAAATCCATTCCATGTTGAGAAAGGACTTGTTTTTTGTATGTCACATTTAGAAGGGGGGGTGTTGAGATTGTGTATTTGGAAAAAAAAAAAATCACATTTCTGCTTTATACAAGCATAGTTAAGAAAGTCACCATTTAAAAAGCCCAGATTAGTGGAGTTCCTTGTATTAGGATGGGCTACAAGAAGCCCCCTGCCCTCCTTCTGCTCCTTGTAATTTATTTCATGAAAGCTAGAATTATTTCCACTTTGTGTTCTAAAAAAACAAAAGGTGTGGGGGACAGGCAGCGAACCTAATTATGTCTTAGGATTGCAAGCAGCAGTATTTGAGATCATTCCCAAGGAAAAAGATCATTTGGAAGCCCCAATAAGACAAATCCATTTTCCAATCAAAGCATATTAATTCTAACAACTCCCAACCCACCAGAAAGCATGCGAAGTGATGAGAACCAAAAGAGAAGGCAGAAAAAATAACTCAGTTAGTGGGAATAATAATTTTCTCCTGCTGTCAGCCAGCCCCCTTCTTTAAAACCACCACCAGTCTAGCTTAGACTGGTATCTCCCAGGCATCCTCCCTCCGTCTCTGCCAACCCCGGGTCAGGGACAAGCTCTCATTTCACTCTCCCCAGCATTGTTCAAGAAGCACAGGTGACAAAAGAACATCAGACACCTACAGACCAATGTCTGAGACTCCATGGAAAGTAAGACGTTATTCAAAACACCCATGTTACAGCAGCTACCCTTTCACAAAGTCAACTTAACACTTATTAAATGCTTACTATGTGCCAGGAACTGTGCTAGACACTATCCGTGGATTATCTCGCTTAATCCTATGAGTTATATGCTATTTGCCTCATTTTACAGATTAGGAAGATGAGACTTGGGAAATTTACCCAGAGTCACAGAGCTATGTTAGCCCATGACAGAGCTGGGACTTGAAGCCACTTGGTCTGACCCCAAGCGCAGCACTCTTAACCATTATCCTGCCCACAATATGATACCAGCACGTGTGAACATCAGTGAATTCCCCAGACGCACACCACGCTACCAACACACCCATTATTTCCTAACATAGAGAGGCACCCCCCATCACTGAGGAAGACTTCCCTTCTCTTGAAAGATTCAGGCTGGACCCCATAAAATGGCTGGAGTAAGTGCATGAAAAGAAGTAAAAAATGTCACATGCTCAGGAAGCCAAAATTAAATGCCACCATTTTATGCTGTGAAATAGCCCCAATTTCCTGAAATCTACTCAATGAAGAAAAAACAGAGACTGCTCAAATAATTTCTAAATACCTTCCAGTGAGTACAAGGTTCTTAACTTAGGTGAGTTTTAAATGAGACTTCATGGCCCTTTGCAAAAGGGAGGGAATAGAAAGGAAGTTGTCCTGCTTCTGAGCCACAGAGTAGACTTCCTTCCCAAGGGAAGAAACCTTGGACTCCCTAAAACGTTATTAAGGGTTGATGCTAAACAGAATGCTTATAATCTCAGATAATTTCATGTAAAATAAAGGGATCCTTTGCACTTATAAAAATGGTCCCCAATGCAAACTGAAAGTGATACCTAACTCCATGTGCCAACTTCATAAGCCAAATGTATAAAATGCTCCAAAACGACAATTCTTTGAAAGGAAAGCATTCAGGCAATTTGCAGACATCACATGGGCTTGTTTTATATTAATGTCTATAACCACAAAATGAAACTAAAAGTGAAGAAACTCACCATACAGAGACAAAACAATACCCTTTTTATTTTTAAAACTCTGGTGAAATAGGTTTCCATATGACATCCCATTAAAAAAAAATTCATGTAAACCAACCTGCCTGTGGGTTAGTCACACTATACAGACTTCATCATAGTGTTTAAAGATGCCTAGATATCTCATAGAGTATTTACAAATGTTATCTGTTAGGTAGTTAAGTTTTGTTGCAATTTTTCCAGCACATATTCCACAGTAAAATAAAGGGGGTATATTGGTGTTCTTGTATAAAAATTCCTAACAAATGGAGAAAGGCAATTTTCCTGAGAGAAGATTTGTTCTTGAAATATTTTTCTTTAACAACTGGAAGTACAGAAATGGGATGTAGTTGTAAAAGAAGCATAAGAATGTCTAAGTTAACATTTTTCTTTTAAATTATTTAAGTACCATTAAGTTAAAATGTTTACATTCATTATAAAAACATGTTGTTAAATCTTATGCAAATGATTTAACACTGGATTGCTGCAACGCAAATTGCACTTTTTAAAAAAATGATTGTATACATGGAAGAAAAATATCTTGTCTGCTACCCTGTTTACAAATTCTGACCGACTTCAGATCAGCCACACAATATGAACTTTGAGAAATTTCAGTCACAGTGTATGTTAACGTTATAATGCAGTCTTGCCAACTGAGTAATATTTTTGACGAGACCTCATGAACGGACTCAGCCTCCAGAGATGTGTAGAAGCGGCCTCAAATGATCTTCTCCATGAATGCATGTGAAATCTGGACGTGGACAAGGTATGAAGAATTTCACGAATAACCAAAATCGACCCGAAGCACATGATTTGGGACAACACACATAAAACCTTTTCTAAAAATCTTTCTCAACATAGCAGGAAAGGCCCCGGTCCCAGTCCCGGTTTCCAGAAGTGGCTCAGCGGACATCAAATCCCCTCGTGAGCCCAGAGGCAGGCTGGCTGGGAGTGCAGCACCAGGGTCCTGGCAAGGGGAGGACAGTGTGCTCTTGGGCTGCGCTGACTTTTCCTCGGAAGAGCTCCACGTTCTCTCATGAGGGACCGGATGGTAAGGCGGAGCGAGCCTCTTTGGAAATACATCTCTTTCAAAATAAAGGCACGGAAATAACGCATCAGAGGAATGTTCTGTCAGCGTACTTGCCACTGTTTGGACTGCTTGATAAAATAATACAAAAGTCACGTGAGGCCCGTGGTGGACTCTCCCAGCTTCCTGTGGCCGCAGGCTCAGGCCAGAGCCAGAGCGCACCATGAATCCTGTCTCACAGATGACGTCACTTCCGCCGGGGAGGCCAGACTGACTCCTATGTACAGCCCGTCTTGAGCTGAGTATTTGAGTTCGCTGTTCTCAGAATTCGTGCTTTCTCCTGGGCCAGACATCACTGAGGAGGCACCTGCCTGGCAGGACGAGGCGGGGGGCAGAGAGAAGGAGGAGAGGGTGAGAAAGAGTTATTGATACATTTGCTACGCAGCACGATCCTGCTAGTTAAACACATGGGCACAAACGAGATCTTTAAGTCCAGTCGGGGCGTGAGCCACATCCAACAGGCTTTAAAGTCACTGGGCAAAAAACACAAAGCCGGCATCTCTAGGCACCGCCCCAGGAAGCGGTCTTGCTGTGTTGTGCAGTGCCATTGGCCTAACACTGGTAATTTAAGCTCTTAGAAACATTATCTCGTTAACTTTAGAACTCATGGCAGTAGCCATCCGGCAGCATGAACAAGGTAGAAAGGGGAACTGGAAGAATCTTACTGGTGAAAAGTGCCAACACTGGGCAGGTAAACAGGACTTGATGCACTCAATCTAATCATTTCAAAAGAGAAACTGCAGAACACTTGGTGCACACACACATACACATGCATGCACTCTTACACACGTACATGCATATACAGACACTTCCGCACACACACATATACTTGCACACACTCATACACGTTAACAGATACTTGCACACACACTCCCATACACACACACACATACACATGCATACGCACACAGCAAAGCCAGAAGGCTTAGTAGTTATGTCAGTCTAAAGAGGAATGCTACACAGTCCAACCCTGCCTGATAAATGAAATTTTTGAGCACTGACTTCATGGAAAATTAACCCATGCATGCTCAGGTTTTAATATCTACCTCATTTACCTTAATTCTTTCCAAAAGCAGGCCATATGAGCCAGACCACAGTATAAAGAAAATTTTAAACATCCTACATTTGTCATGATCGTGGCAAGTAAATGTTCACCTTTCCCCTGTTTAATTCATTCCTTTCCTCAAAATAAGAAAAGGCCAAATAGAAAACATTATATAGTTTGGTAGAGTCAACCAAAATAACTAAAATCATGTTTAGACTACAGTTTGTGAAATCAGTTGCATTTGAGAGACTTTTAAAGAATCTAGCCATAATCACATACTTTTTAATCATGCCCTTTTCCTTCTAAACACTCAGAAGTTATTTCTTCCAAGCTTTCAGGTTCCAAGTCATAAATTCCAAGCTACCTGTTACTTAACACAGGTGGGACATCTTGGACTTTTCAAAGCATTTCTTTTTTACACATATGATCCCATTAGATTATTAAAACATCCTCTTGGCTGGCCGAGCTAATGTTACATGAGAAAAAGTTCAGAGAAATACATGGCATCAGACACAGGCTGAACAGAATGGAAGGTGCTCCCATCTAACGATGAGTGGAACCAAGAGACAGAAGTCAGTGTGGTCCGCCCCATTATTCTGGACAAGATCCGACTCTCTCTCATCCTCACAATCGCTGCATGAAGCCCCGAGGTGGGGCCTCAGTTGAGTAACCCCCCACCAGGTCCTGTCACGTGACTTTTTGTCCGAGGACCCAAATGTCCTCCCAACTAGACAAACCAAATCCAGCCCTTCCACAGGTAACCTACCCTTGGCCCTTCCTAGCAAAAATGTGAGCTTGTGAAAATCCAGCGACAGTATACCCCCACACCCTAACTGTTTAATAACGCAAGCTTAAAGACTTAAACTAAGGGCTTTCGGTGCATGAAAATACAAATTTCACAAAGTCACTGAAATGTTGAAATTTTTCAATAGATTCTTGTGAAAATTTTGAAATAGCTCAAGCAATCCTATCAAGCAAACAGAATGCCATGAACATAAGAGATCAGACTAGGAATTGCAGAAGGGTGAGGATTCCTGGAGAGGGTCTAAGGTAGTCTGGATGGCAGGGGTGAACTTGGGCTTTCAGGACAGATCCAGGTAGCTCACTGAGCCTCCTCATCTATGAACAGGTATCACCTACCTCAAAGGGTGGTTGTGACAATTAAATGAGATAATGTTTGTAAAAGTGTTAGCACCGTGCCCTCCCAAGTTAAACATTCGATAAAGGGCAACTATTATTATTGATGTGGAAATGGTGTTCAAAAGTGGACTATGCAAAAATAGTGAGGAAGGCAGGAGTAAGTACACTGGGCTGTTCAGCAGAAAACCCAACTGAAATGGAAAGCAGCAGCAAGGAAGTGAAAGAGATAAGTAGAAGATGCAAACTAGAAGACCTGACATAAACCTTTCTGTGCCTCAGTTTCTTTGCCTATAAAATGGAGATAAAAAGAGGTACTATGTCATGAGGTTATTTAAGAATTAAATTAGTTATTACAGCTTTGTTGAACAGTGTCTGGCAGTAGCAAAGACTACATAAGTATAAAACCAAAACCAAACCCACTGCCGTCAAGTCAACTTCGACTCATAGCAACCCTATAAGACAGAGTAGAACTGCCCCATAGGGCTTCCTGGTGGATTTGAACTGCCAACCTTTTGGTTAGCAGCTGTAGCACTTAACCACACATAAGGATAAGCTACTATTATTATTTTCTTATTGTCATTAAGGTTAAGGAGCTTGGACTTAATTTATTCTCACTAATTCTATCCTTCAGCCCAAGTAAGTTACCACCATCACTGGGCAGGGGCAGAAGCAGTGGGAACTCCTCCAGAGGCAAGTGAGAACAACCTCCTCAATCATCCTGTTCATTGGCTGACAGCTCTCCACAAAGAGAAAGCAAGGTGCTCGGCAGCCATTCAAAAGGTTCATTGAAAAAAATAAATAAGGAAACCTCAATTCATATGTTTGAATACAATAACATACAAAAGGCTCCTTGGCCCTTTGTCAAATGAGCCACGTTGAAGAAATCTTAACACGCTGAATATTATTCTTACTCCTGGGCAATAATCAGAGTCCTGGTGGCGCAGTAGTTAAGAGTTCGGCTGCTAACCAAAAAGTTGGCAGTTCGAATCTACCAGCTGCTCCTTAGGGCAGTTCTACTCTATCCTAGGGGGTCGCTCTGAGTCTGAACCAACTCGATGGCAACAGGGGCAATAATCACAAAAACTATCTCTAGAAATTATCAGTCTTCTTTTTTTCAAACAAAAAAGTTAACATATATGGCAGGGCAAGAATCCTACTGTCAAAGGGCAGACAAACCCCAAATTACATGGGTGATGCTCTCCTGAAAAACATCCACTCATCTGAAGTCAAAAGCAATTTCTCTGAGTCTGTCAGAAAAAATGGGAGAAATACTTGTGCCCAAGACTTGACAGTCTTATTTTTAAATAGGGACATACATATACTATTTAAACAAGAAAGCCTGCAAAGAAAAAAAACAAATTTGTTACCACAGAAGGCCTCAGCTGTGGCCAGTGGGTTATACTCTGGCATACACCTAGCAGTAGTGTCAACAGCCATCAAGAAGTTTATACCCTACTTCATCCTATAATTTTACTTCTGAAAACGTCTCATAAGGAAATAATGCAAGGGAAGGGAAGAGGCCCCACAAAGAAAGACATCCATTGCAGGGCGGCTACTTATAATACTGGAAACCATGGATGTGTCTAATAATCTCAGGATAGTTTGGAAAAGCAAGGTATAGCCACTCAATGAACTATTATGCATTTAGTAAAAATGGTAAGACCATGCAGCCAAACAGAAAAATTCTTATTATACAATAATAAGTGAAAAACAGCAGGATATGAATTGTAATGCTGTGATAATTCCAAGTTATCTGAGCACACACAAAAGTATTGTGAGGTCACCTAGGAGGGGATAGGGGACAGGGGACCACATGAGAAGGCCAAGCCTATTAACCATTTATACCTTTCTTTAACTATTTTACTTAAATGACACAGCACAATCTAACTTTGGGGAAGGGTAGAACACATGGGGTCACCACAAGTCCAGGGCCAAACAACAACAACAGACAGTAGCACCAGAGAGGCACAGGCTTGAGAGGGGCCAGCCTGGGCAAGGTCACAAAGCAGCATGGAAAAATAGGGAGGAACCAGAGCGGGGGCTCTAACAGACAGAAGTGGGTTCAGAAGGGCCACCCGTGCACCACTGTAAATGTCGCCATGTCACCTGGCATAGCTGCTAGAGCCTGGTCAGCCACACACACGTACAGTTCCACATAAGTTAAAACATGGAATGTATGAATCAGTGTCACTTGCTCTCAAAACTGGTCTAGGATGATCACAACTCGCCTAAGGAACTTAGTTCATCATTTCACTGTTCATCTTCATTCCCCTTCCTCATTGGTGACAGTCCAGAGCTACCTATTGAGACTCAGTGCAATTTGGGGAAAAACTTATTTGAGAAACTTAAGGTCCTGGACCCAGTACACATGTGCACGCACACATGCACACACACAAACCCAAGGATAAATTTGATTTGGTTAACATGTTTTCCCATAGCTAGCTAAATCCTTCCAAGATCACAGACATATCAGCATAATAAAAGCAGGCATTCCATCAGACTTAAACCAACTTAAATGTTCCTGAGCAAAAGTAGAGAAGAGCTCAGCTTCAGAATGCCCACGGCTTCCCATCCTTCCTCCCAGGCCACTAGACCAGGCAGGGGTCCCAGTCTTTCTCTGATCAAAGTGCAGTATGAGGGCGGAGCAAAAATCTGCTCTGTGTTTCCATTCACAGCTTATCTGCCCTCCACCCTCCCACAGACAACTGAAAATGGAGGCACTTCCTGTTGAAAGAATGTGTTATCAGCACCAGACCCAGCCCAGGCTTAACACTGAAAGTCAGCCAGGTTAGGTGGGAGACAGGCAGAGCAGCTGGGCAGGGAAACTCCTCCTAAAGGAATAAATGACTTTAGGGAGAACTTGGGTAGCTGCAGATTGGGACATGGAAAATATCCACTCACCTATGAAGCAGGCATAGTTAATCTTTAGATAACCAGGATTTTTTTCCTGTGAGAAAAAACCTTTACTCATTTTGGACATACTGTCTTTGTAAAAAGTGGAGTCTCTCGGTGGTATACACGGTTAACGTGCTTGGCTGCTAACTGAAAGGTTGGAGGTTTGAGTCCACCCAGAGGCACCTTGGAAGAAAGGCATGGCAATCTACTTCCGAAAAATCACTGAAAACT